CTTATAAACTTTAAGGGGAGAGGAAGAAGAGGAACAAGGAAGGAGGAAAACCAAATTCAGCAACAAACCAAAAGCATGTTATTACTCACTATAGCCCAGTTTAGCCTTCTGCCCTTTGGTTTTGTGATAGGATGATCAAAAATTGCGCCCAAGTTTCTCTAAGAGACCACAGTCATTAGATTAAGTGAGTAGAAAATAATTTTTAAAATTGGGCAATTTCTCATGACACTTCTCTTTTCAACAGTCACCATCAATCAGTCCCAAACTCTAGAGATGTTTTATAAACCACTCAACAGTCAGCACTCGTATTTTAACCAAAAAATTACTAGTTGTTTGAGCTACCTGACACAGTAACTTACAATACCAACAGAAGCTGAAAGTATCAGAACAGAAAGCAAGAGTGTTTTAAACAAAGTCAGCAGTTTCAGAAGCAACTATAAAGAATAGGGATATTCTGTTGAAGACCAGAGCGAGAGGCCAAGAGTCAGAGAATCCAATAGCAAAGACTAGGCAACACCTGAATAACTAATGAAGATTTCAACTCTAAGTGTAAGCAGAGCTATGCAAACTCAGCATGACAGAGCAAAGTTTCACTGCAATTATTACTATCAATAAGAAGTCATTTAAGAAATCTGCAAGCCATGCTTCCAAATTGGTGTCTGCAATTCTATCATTTGGTCACAAACAAATCAGAAATGCATGCTGTGGAAGGCGAATAAATTCTTTGCTGAGAACTACTGACTCACTCTGGTCTACAAACAACATGTATTTCTGTCTCAGTTCAGCCCTGGAGCCCTTTCACACCAGGCTCCCTACAACCAGGTCAGCCCTTTTACTCTCTAGGAAGGAATCCAGTATACCTTCATGACAACCAGCAATGAGCAAGTGAAAAACAGCCTGACATACAGAAATTGCTATGTTTGTGCAAGGCATTCATAACAGCAGAGATGAGGGAATCTATGTCCATAGTAGGTCAGAACCTTGTTCCCGCTGAACATCATTATAAATCTCACATATTTCCATATCAACACCTAGATATATCAAAAATGGATAATGCAATGAAAGCCACAACAGGAACAATGCTGTCCCTCAGACTGTGAGTGCAGACCTACCAGCATGACCATGAAGTGCTGGCCTTAAGGAGAACTGGGACCCTTCACTGGTGTTGAGTGGCAATCTCCAGCTGAGAGCAAGATCACTTTCAAGTTATACCTAGGGTTCACGGAAGGCATCTGCTAGGTGAAGGCATGTAGTGGTCTGGTACTCTAATCATCAGCTGGAAAATGGACCTCATCTTCCCAACGAGAACATCTGACCCACAGAAAACTAGAAACAACATACACTCCTGTCTCCAGACACAGCTCAGTCACATTTTAACAAAAAACACATCTGCATAGTATTGACTGAAGGAGAATATTAAGAAGCTTATGGTTTCCCATGTGCTTTTTACAATACTAAAATACAGCTCAAGGCACAGAGTTAAAAGGTTCCTTATAAATGTCCACAGTAGGATCTTTCTTTCTTTTAAACACAAAAATCTTAGCTCAGCCTGCACTGAATGCCCCTGACATAGAGTACTTTCATCTTCTAATAGGCTTATTTATGCAACCGTAAATTAAGTGTCCATTGCTAAGATCCTGGATTGCATTAATAATTATATAATATTAGCATATTTTTAGATATATCTTATCTTGATTACTCCTTAGATTAAGTTCTGTGCAGCTGCTAACAGGCCCCCTTTGGGGAACAGAGAAATTGAAACATGGGAGTGTCATAGATACTGCTAGTGACTCTATTCCACAATGGAATTAAAAACAGAAACCCAAAGTCACATGAATTCTCCTATATCCACTATATACTGTACGTTCAAACATTAATGACACGAACATGTAATAGCCTACAACATTTGCCTTGTGCTGTGTTCTGAAGTCCAGTAATGTTTGACAACTATTACTGTAAGCACATTAATTTTTCTTAAGCAGTTACATTCTGGGCTTCTAGGATGAGTACACAGATTACTTTCTTTACTATTTAATAGTAAAGCATGCATGTTAAGAAGTCACTCAACAGTTATGGCAATGGCAATGGTCCAAAAACCCCAAAACAAACAAAACAAAGGATGTTGCTAGAGAAAATCCTCAACAAATGATAAAAACAAACCACACATGTCTAGAAATCCGCAATCCATCACTTCCCAGTAACTTCTGCCTTCAATTAGCTGCTTTCACCTCCTTTTATCGTATTACACTCCTCTGGCTCAATTCCATCTTAAGCCTGTTCTAAAACTCCTGATTTGCTAAGGCCCTGCTTTGCTTCTGTGTTCCCCTGCATGATCATCTTCATTTCCCTTTGTGCAATTCCAAACTCAGGCTTGCACCCTTCTTGTACAACTTCTGCCCTTTCTGCAGCTAAAGCTTTCATCCAGGAATTAAAGGAATCCAATCCGGTTTAATGCAACTTCCCTCTCTCCAGCTTATCTCTCTCTCTCCTTTTATCTTTATCCAGTTCAAAACACAACTACATTGTTTTACATTAATTCAACTACAGCCCTGTTGTCTAGTCCTCTGACTGCATCCTCCCATTCAGGTATCTCTGTTTTTCTAGACATGGTTGTTTGTCCTTCACTCATTGAAGATTCTTCCTGAATGCTTCAACCTCCTCCAAGAAGCATCCTCCCTAAACTAATCCAGAAGGCCCTTAGCTTTGGTTTGATATCTATTCCAGACCATTTTTTTTAACTATCATATATAGCTATTCAAAGACTACTAGCAATGAATAGAATAGGGCATGGAGACAGAATGTATTTAATCATAAAATAAACTAATACATATGGAAATGTTATGGATGGAGAGGGAACCACCGTTCCCCAACCCTTCATATGCCACTGATCTTGGGCTGTTAACTCTTCAGGGCAGGCATGGGTGTCTCTTCGTGTAAGAGCAGAATGCAGCATCTTTATACTTTATGTGACTTTCACCACACACACAAAAGCAACCATAAAAGTTAACTCCATGAAGTCAGTCCATAACTTTGATAAGCATTCTGGCAGAGGTAAGAGTGTTGGGGTTTTTATGGGATGCTAGACTTTAGGAGTCAGGATATTAAATTACTCAACTGCAACAGTTAACACCAACAATACAAAAGTACCTTTCTAAATGCAGCTTCTACAAAACTTCATTTAAGCAAAGTCAGCCACACTGTTGGTCCATTACCACCGAGCTGACTCAGATCTCTGGGCAAGGGATGCAATATCCTGCAATTAGGATGTAACCATGCCCTGTGCCAGAATCACAGAAAATCAGTACTGCTCCACTCAGTTTGGCCTGCCCTGCAATTTTCTTCCTCCAATGCACTGCCAGGTACTGTATCCTTCAGTGAGTAACAACCATCAGATACCACGGGAGAGGCTGGAGATATTTGAAGCAGCAGAGGGGAAACTTCTTCATCAGGAAGAAAAGTTGCAGTTGCACAAAGAGCTTTACACATTTCCATCAGAGCTTCTACACATTTACATTGGTTTAGTGGAGGGGCTGCTGTGAAATAAATGCATTTAACCCTTTTTAAACCATTTGTGTTACTTTTTTTTCTGCTTGGAGTAATATTCATACTAAGAACTGGACTAGGTGAGAATGACTTGAAAACTTTTTATGAGCATAAGATTTGGTGAATGAAAGCTGACACATTCAGAAAAATAAAACCCATTAAATAGCAGTTTCTTCTGTAAGACCAGTATTTTAATTGTAATACTAGAGCCAAATGCAACCATTACTATGTTTTAAACAGACATGTCAAAAAGTGTTTCAACTTGTGACTGTTCAGGGGCCTTAAAAGAATCCTGAAATGCCTAGAGGATTTTTTTTCTTTTTTTTTTTAAGCAAAGCATTATGGATCTTTAACCTATTTTATTGTACTGTAAATACAGTCTTCACATCTGAAAAATCTTTACATAGAATAAGTCACATTCAGAGGCAAATAAATATGCTATGAAGAGCCTGCTTATTATTTAACTACACAGAAAGAATACAAGCTGTCAGTGCTTATACTTTATGGATTATAAAAAAGAAATATGAGACAATTTTTTCACTTATTTTGTTACTTAAACACAAAGGAGTCAGTTGGAAAAGGAAGAAATGGAGGCCTGCAACTCATCTTGGATGTCAGCAGTTGCTTCAAATGCACAAATTTTATGTTCTTCAATAACAGCAAAGACTCAATGTTTTTTTATCTTTAGATGTAACAGCCATGTACCACCTCAAACATGATCAGTAGTGGTCAAGATGAAAATCACTGTATTTTAATACAAATTGGGGTGGCTATTTGTTGAAAGTTAGAGGCATTGGTCTTCATACAACACAAATATGTTCTATAACATAAACATTGCTAGGTTAATGGTTGGACTCGATGATCTTGGGTCTTTCCCAACCTGAACGATTCTATGACTCTATAGAATTTGAAAACATACTCCGGTTTGGGTAGCAAGCAATATGTATGTTAAATTGCTATGTTACGTTCACATGTTACATTTCAAGCAATTCCCCTCCGATTTCCATTTTTAAAATCACATCCGAGCCCACGGAACACGCTTCAGCCAAAAGCCGAAATTAAGCCGCAGCGTTTTAAGCCCCGCTGTCGCAAAGGCACCGCAACTTTCATTTCGGGGCCCCCGGCCGCCGCAGGCGGCGGGCTGCGCCCGCCCGGGCCCCCGCTGACGGCCGGGGGAGGGCATTGCCAGGCACGGGGACCATCTTAACTAATTCGGGCGCCGCTGCGGAAGGACTGGCATTCCCAGCGCTCCTGCGGGAAATCGAGCCGCGCGTCTCGCCGAGCATCGCAGTGCACTAAGCGTTATCTTTCAGCGGTACAAACACCCTTGCGGAGGGGTGCGGCGAGGCTCCTCCGCACCGCCGCCCCTGCCGCGCCGGGCGCGGGCCCCTCTCCCTCCGCTCCCCCCGCCGTGCCCGGGCCCCTCTCCCCCCGCGGCTTCCCCGCCCGGCGCTCACCTGTGTCCGCGCCGCCTCGCTCCGCACCCGTGTGCTCAGCGCCGGCCACCGCGCCCCGCCGCCGCCCTCGCCGGAGACCAGCCGCAGGGGCCTGATGCTCTCCCGCTCCGCGAAGCGGCTCTCGCCCCGCCGCCCCGCTGTCGCTGGCCCGGAGCCTCCTGGGCAGGGGAGAGGCACCGTCACCCGGCTGCGCCCTCGCCCCCAGCTCGCAGGCTGTTGCGGGGGCTCCGTTTCCATGGGGCTCCGCAGCAGCCTCGGCGCAGCGTCCCCCCCTCCCCGCCGCCCCCGCCGCCCTCGCCCCGAGCGCGGCAGCGCTGCCCCGCGGCCGCGGCTCACCTGGGGCAGCCGGCAGGGCGCAGAGCGCCAGGGAGAGGAGGCAGGCGGCAGCCCGCATGGCGCTGCCCGCCGCCCCGCTCGCCGCCGTGTGCCGCCCCGGCTGCCGCCGCCGAGCGCCGCCGGCTCCGCGCCTGCACGGGCGGGGGGGCTGCGGGGCCGCGGGGCCGGGGCTGCCGAGCTCCGCCCTGCCGCCGCGCCGAGCCCCCGCCAGCGAAGGAGATGGCGAGAGCCGCCGAGGCTCCCCGCAGAGCCCGCTTGGAAGAGGGAAGTGCTGGGAAATGTAGTCGTTTGCCAGGGTGTGAGGTAGCGGGGCGAGACCGGAGGGGAAGCCCCGGAGCCCGGGGAGCGCTGCAGGGATTCCGCAGCCCCCGCGCCGTGGGGCCGCCCCGCTACCGCACTGCTCCGGGGTAAGGGAACCCCCGCTGCAAAACTTGCCTCCGCTGGCAGCCCCACCTGCGGGTGAAGGCGGGAGGTCTCTGGGGAGACAGCCGGAGCGTTTTCCCTCCCCCTCTGGCCGTACTGCGGCCAGCCCGCTCCCCTTACGTGTTCATTTTCAGAGTGAACCTTCATTTCCTTCTCTATGACCTTTCTTCTTCCTTTCTTAAATTTCTACTCCCTCCCCGCTTTCTCCACTGGACTAACAAAGAGAGTAGAAAAGGATTACAATGCAGAATCGTTCCTTTCACGGTACAACACGCTCTCCTGAACTGAGGAAGAGGCAGAAGTGTCAAGGAGTCTCCACGATGTCTGTTCCCCGAAACGCGAGGATCATTCTCCCTCAGCGGAGGGATGGCTGCATCTGCAACCCAATTCTACACTCCCACCTACCGGGAAACCGAGGGGAGCAGTGCTACCTCGCGGTACTGTGTATCTCACCTTTCTTAATTAACTACGTTTCTTTCTGAAAATGGGACAAGAGTGGCTATTGCCTAAGGGGTTCCTTCTACCGCCGTTTTCCGAAGGGGCGATAGCAAGAACTGCCATGGCACGCAGTTGAGGCGAGTGGAAAGAGGAGAGGTGTCAGAGCAGCACAGTGGCAGATGCAGCTCGATAGCGACCCAGGCAAGAGAATAAGAGGTCAAACTACCTACCGTCATGCAGATCAATATTAATTGTATCGCTTGCAGTGACAATAGCCAGAACACCTGGCACCTGCATTCCTGCTCTTGGGAGCGTTTCTGTCTGCCGGGGTGCCTTCCATGCGCTCCTCAAGGAGGAACCGCACTCCGGGCACAGCGGCTCGGCAGCGGCCGCCCGCCTCTCCCAGAGCCACCCGCCGGGGAAGGTCGGGGCTCCTGGCCCGATTTCTCAGTAGGTCTTACCTTACTTACACAGATCATCTATTAAAAGAAGCAATTAGAGCACAGAAGAAGGAAATTCAGTTTCTCACAATTTGTTTCCGTGACATGAAAACAGACAAAATGACAGTCCAACAAGGTGAGGATAAGAGCTCAGTATTGCATCTGGAAATATATATTAACAAAGTGGCTAATAAGTTTTGTGCTGTCCTGTTTACACTACACTCACACACTACAAGCAAGATATATCCATTAAATCCTCAAGCAGCCACTGAAATTGTGCACAATTAGCTTATAAAACTCTTCTGTGGGGTGTCAAAAGGAGCATGGGTGGGGTGAGTAAAGAAAATGAAGTGCCATTTATAGAAAGAAAAATCAGTACTATAATATGATGTTTCAATCTTCTTATGAAAGTCATAAATCCTTATATTTCAGGCTGCAGCCAACCGCTGGTTATTTCAGTTAGACCAAACTGTCCCCACTGGCACACTATTTCACAGCTTCTTCTGTCAGTATTTCTGTGAAAATTCATGGCATCAGATATATATTATACCTGCTAGGCAGTAGTTACACTGTACAGTTATACACTGATTTCCTGGATCAGTACATCATATATTTCTTTTTTCTCTTGCCATTACCAGTGTTCAGATCTAGTGTAGATGTCACACACGGAAGGTTCACCAACCCAGCACCAGCCATGGCCTGGCTGCTTTTAAGTAATGACAATGAATGAAGAGTTCTATCCAGTCTGTGTGCTCAGGGAATGTGGTGAGCTATAATACATACACTTCATTAATACAATCCTTTTTTAGTATGACAACTCTATTTTGGTCAAACCCTTCACTACTTTCAAGAATAATTTTTAATACTTTAAAAAAAAATACAACCAACTGATAAGACAAAGGCATTTAAAAAGTGTGTGTGCTACAAGTGATTAGCCAAAATAGAGCTGAAAAAGGTTTTATGTCCCTCTCTTTGCAAACCTTTCTTGTTTACATCTTCTATGATAAGCACTGAAGATTAATTCTAAATAAAGACTTTAATAAATTGCAGAAATTTGTATGTCACATTGAAGGATCTTACTCACAAGGAAGAAAATCTTAACTTGTATGTCTGAAGTTCCCTTTTATTTGTACACATTGATTAGAAATGGGTGATTTGACAAGCTTGATCCTTCAGAGAAATAATATTTTAATTTTATGGGTGGTGTTTCCAGGTTCATTTAGGAAATCAGGCAGAGAACATCAATATTCATTTCCTAGTTTTACTTTACTGGGAGCTCTTTGACATTGCTGAGGACTGTGGCAGACTGTCCCCCTCTGAACAACTAGCTCTTTCACATCTGGGGACAGAATTTTTTCTTCTTCTAGCAAATCCTAAAATATCTTGTGTTGGAAGAGACCTACAAGGAACATCCAGTCCAACTCCCTGCTTCTCACAGGACTACCTAAAAATAAACCATATAACTGTGTCATCCAGACACTCCTTAAACTCTGACAGACTTAGGGACAGCTTTCCTGGGGAGCATGTTCCAGTGACCGACTGCCCCCTCAGTAAAGAACCTTTTCCTTATGTCCAATGTGAACATTCCCTGATGCAGCTTCATACCATTTTACTCATGTCCTGTTGCTGGTGCCCAGAGACGGATCAGCACCTCGTACTCCACTGCCCCCTTTGAGGAAGTTGCAGACTGCCATGGGGTCACCCCTCGGCCTTCTCCTGTCTAGGCTGAACAAACCAAGTGGCCTCAGCCACTCCCCCTAAGTCCTGCCTTTGAGACCTGTCACCGTCTTGGTCACCTTGCTCTGGACACACTCAAACACTATAGGTATTACAAAAATTTTTTTTAACCATAATTAATTACAAGTCACAATCTAACACTTTAACATCTAAGTGTTACTTCTCTCCTTCCCACAGAAAATAAGAAAGAAATATGGACTAAACGTCCCTGTTGGCATTGTACTTCCAATTTATATGAGGTATTCTTGAAAATTACCTCCCAGCTGTATAGCTTAAGTTTTGCTGTAATCACTAGAGTAAGTAGGTAAGACTGCAATCATGATTTACAGTTTTAAACTGCCTAAAGTTCTGCAGAGATTAGCCTAGTTTAAAATGCTGAAAGAGTAACACATTTTTAAATGCTAAGAAACCTACAGAAACTGCTTTACATTTTTATAATTTTGATAAAATCTAGATTTTCTGCTCTGAGAAATACACAATGGAGCCTTGTGTATGCGTAGACACGATGGAAAAATAGCACTGACTCCAATCACAGAACATTACAGTGATTTCATACTGTGAAGAGTGTAACTCCTCTCCCCACACACAGAAACTTTTGTTTTCTCAAATATAATCGGTTGTAACTGAAACCTAGGGCGCTCCTTAATAAACACATTCTCAGTGGGCAACATTCAATTATGATTTATTAAGTTTATAAAAAACATATTAAGACTTTTTCCTGATAAAAGGAAGATCTGCAAATATTTTCTAATTGTCTCTATTCACCTGACCACTGACTACCATAAGTGTTTCTATGTGAAACACATGTTTACATTCTCAAAATATGATAATTAAATTTTCTTTTAGCAGTACCAGTTACATGTCCAATTACAGAAACAGTGCATTTTTACCCGATGATTTTACAGCAGTGACATTGTCACTTATGTACGTAAAAATCACTTGACTCTGATGGTTATTTAGTTTGGAGCATAACTATTACCTCCAAACAGGAAGCATGTGCAACTGTAATCTAAATATAGAGCTCATCACAGAGAATCAGTTTTGACATTAAATTGGAGGTACAGCCTGATCTGGAATATGCACTGGCCACTCCCAGTGAGGACATTGCAGGGTTCAAAGACAGAGACAGAAGCCAAGAAGTTCAGGATTGATCAGGATGGTGATGAACAGGCAGAAACACAATAAAATGTCATACAGTGGTACGGGAAAGTAAGCTGGTGCTTTTTGCTCTTCTGGCAGTATGGTATGTGAATTGACAATTTAACTAAAACCTAGTAAGAATAAATATGCTTTCACTCAACAAGTAGTTAGTCTATTGAAGTCTTTACTTGGGCTATACTTTCGAATTATTCTCAAAATTCTCAGCACCAAGAGAGACAGGACGTTCTTGTGCACTGAAAGAACAATAGGACCTGCAATGATGAGCAACCAGCTTTGGATAAAAGTGCTTCAGGCTTTGTTAATTTTTTTATTCCAAGTTTACAGATCGGATTTCTTTTGGTTGGTGGTTTCATCTTGCATCTAGTCATGGCATGGGATCGTTTTTACACTTCTTGTGACTACTGCTCACCACCACTGGAATTAGGAGATTGGGCTGGATAACTACAAGTATGGTTTAGCAAAGGCAGTTTCTCAGAAAATCTGGTGACATAAGGAAAGGTAAGATTTTTATTTATAAACAAACAAACAAACCCCAAACAAAACTCAATCACTTGGCTCAGTGACAAGTGGCCTGGAAATCAGGGCATCAGTAAAGTAAAAATTGTTCAGAAATCTGATTCATGTTTTATAACATACAAAACTTGCATTCACTGAAGAGCTTCCATGTTAGACCTTCTGTAGTTACTTCTGAAGAATGTCAGGGAAGTTAGTAGCTAAAATTATCCTCAGAAACAAGCTAAAGAGCTACTCAACTAAACCAACCTGAATGCAGGATACAGGACGAGATCTATGCAGCTTTCTGTGGCTAGAAGCCTCTTCTTTTCCAAGGGCCATTAAACTTCTGAGGCCAAAGCATCCTGTGT